CACCTGAGAGTGGAAGCTAGACGGGCCATAAACTGAGCTGGATTCTCAGCCTTGTTTTGAGTGGTCTCTTTTAGTTTGTCATAGTTGATGGCTTTATATGCAGCCTGCTGAAGCTCCTCAACAAGACAAGAAATCATGTAGTCTCGCCTGTCTATACCAGGGGACCCTGCCTCGTAGTCCCATTGAGGGTCTTCACAGGGGACTGCTCTGGCACCTTCCTGAAAGTCAGGCTCAAAACGCTGGCAATCTTCAGCATTAAGACTGAGCCAGGGTCCAAACCTGCTCCCATTTTTCAGGAGTGAGAGTAGAAGTGAGGACGACATTTAAGCCACCCCAGGTGAGATTATAAGACTGGGATAAGTATTGAAACTCTTGTATATATTTGGTGGGGTCTGATGGGAAAGAGCTTAGGCGCTGACTGATTTGGGCAAGGTCAGACACAAAGGGATGTGCACCCAGACTGTTCCCTCGGCTGCAGCCACTTCTTGAGGGGGAAATTGTTGGACATGGGTGGGGGAATTAGCCATGGACTAAATTGTAAGCCAGATCAGATATGAGGTAAGGTGGCGATAGGAGGGGCATAAGGAGGCGGGTTGTGGACAGAAGAGTTAGGCTCTGGGGGAGGATTAGGACCTGGTTCGGACACGCAGGGAGGAGAGAGATCAGAAGGACTGATGAACAAGGAGGATTCAGTGTCAGCGGCGGGGGGTGAAGGAGTGGAAGGAAGGGAGAGGGGGAGAATTTGGAATGAGTCGCACTGGGAACAGTTCAGGCAGGGAGCAGGGACTGAAGTGTAAAAAATGCCTGGACGTATGGCACCTCAGACCTTTCGCCCATTTTATGACAAAAATTGTCTAAGTCTCACAAAATAGAAAACTTGAAAATGCCATTATCGGGCCACTGGGAACCATTGTCTAATTTATATTGGGGCCAGGTTGTATTACAGAAAAAAATGAGACATTTAGACTTCAGATCAGATGAAAGTTGAAGGGGTTTCAGGTTTTTGAGGACACAGGCCAGGAGAGAAGAGGGAGGGATGGATAAAGGAGAGGAGTTTGAGAGAAGATAGAGCCAAGGAGGAGAGCAACCACTAGGATCCTCAGCGGGCATCTTCAGCTGGGGTCCTGGGCTGTACAGCTGGCAAATGGCCAAGGCAGGCATCCCTGCTGTTGACCAGACACCAAGGGAAGACTGTCTTCCCGAGAAAAGTCCATGACTAATGTTGGATTTTTGATACACGAATAGGAGGGACCCCCTTTCAGAATATTTGTCTCTATTTCAGAAAGTGTTATTTCAGAACATCTGTCTCTATTTCAGAAAGGAAAGGTTTGAAAACAATGGAGATTGCTTTGTTATACCAGAGCAAGTTTAAACAGAAACACCATGCTCTTGAGTTTGTTGAGAGTCCGCTTTTAATGGCTGGCATCCAAGAGTCAGCTGGAGCTCAAACCTCTTGGCCCAGAACAAAGTGCAATCAACATTATATCAGTTTACGGTCAGGGAGTGGTAAGCAGATTATTACAGAAGCAGAAGGAGCAGGTTAGGGAAAGGGGGTAGGTGCCTAACAACAAAATTCTATTTAAAGTTGTTTTTTACTCAGGACGTGGGGTAGGCAGTTACACAGTTGCAGGTGCAGGATGTATGGACCAGTGAGCCCTGTTTCTCAGAAAATTGGTTACAAAGATGCCAGGTGTCTCAGACCACAAGCTCTCGGCACAGAATGCCCTACGTAGCTCAGGGTGGGCAAAATGGAGTTGGCAGGATTGTTCAAAATGTATTCATCACAGCCAAGCTAGGGTATTTCAGCTTACCCAATCCGAAGATAAAGAAAGGGGTTCTAAGGCCAGTCTGAGGTACTGAAGTTACGGGAAGGCTCTTCAAGAAGGGAGAGCAGGGGTAGGGGACAGATCTCCCTGTGGAGTTTCCCTATCCTGGGTTTCGGCACCAAAATGCTAAGCACGGATCCAATTGAAGAGACAACCTAACCAGGCTTTGTGTGAGCAACAAGGCTGTTTATTCACTCGGGTGCAAGTGGGCTGAGTCCAAAAAGGGAGTCAGCGTGGAGGTGTGGGGCAGAGCAGGTTTTACAGGCTAGGGTAGCAAGTGGAAAGTTACAGCTCGGAGTTCGTCGTTGTTGACTCAGAAGATTGATCAATTAGCTGAAGCAGGATCCCATTGTTTTTCTTGTGGGTTTCCCATTGCTTCAGACCTTCTACCACCAGGAAGCTATCTGAAGGCATATGTGTCAGTTACAGAGTTCCTAATAGGTTGGCAGTAGTGCTGCCATATTTGGGGGACCTAACATGTAATATATTTTGAATGGCCATAATTACACATAATTTAACTGTTTAAATATTTGTTTTATGTTTTTCTTCTAGGAGAGAACACTATTCCAGTGGATCACAGTAATCACCATCCTCAGATACACTGCTGTATTTTATTTTCATCCTAATATTCCAATCCCCCTCCCCCAAACTACAGAGAAGGAGTTGAGTTTGAGGCCAGAAAAGGGGTGAAAATCCTACCTGCCAATTTGTTTGCCCACAGCTGATTCTCAGTTTTAACATCTTGTCTCTTTTCTCAAGTCACATTCCTGATCCCCATCCCAGCACCCCAATTTTTTCTTCCCTATTTCAAAATAAGAGGGAAAAAAGTTAAGGGGGAAATTTCCCTCTTCTATTTGAAAGGCAGAATCCTGATGCACTTTAAATTCCAAAACAAAGAAGCAAATGAACATAAAATCCTTTAGTATGTGCTTTTTACATGTAGCAGGGAATCAAGGTAAAGGAATAATTATCTACTCCCAGTTTCTCAAATGTTGGAATCATCTGGGGATTTTAAAATCTAGGCTTGTTAGTGTCTCACCCACGAAGATTTGGATTAAATTTATATGACTTTTAAAAAGGTCTAAGGAGGATTCTAATCTGCAGCAAAGGTAAGAAGCACTAATTTGAATGCACTGTTCTTTGCTGCTCCAATTGTGGTCCAGGAACTGCAACATGGGTACACCTGGGAGTTTGTTAAAAATATTTGTTGGTCCCTCTCCAGACCTCCTGAATTTGAATCTACAGTTCAGCCAGATCCCAAGTGATTTGTATTCATATGCACATGAAAATTGGAGAATCTTACCTAGGGCTTTTACCAAGTAAATGGCCCCAATTTGAAAGAGTACAGTGTTCAGGAAGTACAGCTAGCAAGAATATGCCTCCTACCAGAAAAGTGAAGAAACCTCATGGTTATAGGCTCGAGTGCCATGGCACTCAGAGAAATCAGGTGTTAGCAGAACTTTGAGATTCAAGAAGCTGTATAGGACTTAAATTCAGAGCTGCAGTCCCAGTGGCTGCTCCCCAAACTTTACAAGTGCTGTTGAAGCCAATCTGGTTGATCTGTTTGATCACACTAAATGTGCTATCAGTGCTAACCACCTATCACATTGGGAAACATCCAGTAAGTACATCTCAAACACACAGAACCTGCTCCAACTCTTCTATGATGGGAAAATTTTGTTCTCAGACAAAACTCAAAAACTTCTCGCCACTATGGGTGGTTCTGAATGTTCTGAATCACTCAAGAACATTGTATCAAGTGGAAATGAATGGACACATTAGTCATTGACATACAGTTTCTATTTTCCTTTTTGCATATGTTGGGTATTTTCCAGTTGCCCCTCCATATTCAGTTTCAGTCCTCAACCCTGCTGTGACACTCGGGAGACTGAGTTTCCTGGATTGTCCTCTGGCTTCCAGTTGGGTTGGGCCAATGGGAAGCTCTGGCAGGAGATCAGAAGAGACTTGGGTTCAGTTTATTTATTACCCCCAGTACCTTTGTGCTGAACTATGGCTTGGATGTAGCCCTCAACTGAAAGCCACAGTTTCTCTCAGGTGGCCTGCTCCTAGGGGTGAGAATAGCTTCTAAATGTGGCTAGCCATGGGATGCACCAGCCCATGTTGCATCTCCTTAACCCTGTCCACGTTATGTAAATCGCCCCTTGTGAACTCTCCCCACTTACCTTGTTTGAATGTGCCATCTGTTTATCACCTCATCACCATCTCCCTTGTTTTCAGGTTCTATTCTGTTTCTGTCTTTGATGATGAGAGTATTAAAAAGGGGTGGATCAGATGAGTAAAGCAAAACCTCAGGTCACAGATGGGCATCATCAATGCCCATCTGAAAGATCAATTGGCAACATGTTGCAGCTGCCCCTGGGAAGCACAGACCAGAGGACTACCAGCAGCTTGCAGCATGTCCCCCACTGGCAGCAGATGGTCTTACGGCATTGGCTCTGCATCCTCAAGCTTGTCTGGCACCGGCAATAGATGACATTTGCCCTACAATCTCTCCATGTTGATTCACCTCCTCTTCAAGCAGCCTCTCCACCCCAACTTAACTTCTCCCAGATTCCACGTATTATTGGCAATGGCATCATTGTTCACTCACCAGGCGAGCCTAGTTAGAATTCACCCACAGGAGAAAACAAGTGAAGGCTGCGAGAAGCTAAAATATGGTGCACCTCTGGGCTGCCTATGAACAAGTATCCCTGGGCATGGTGATGATGGGGATGAGGTCGTCTTGGAAAGGCAGGAGTCCAGGCACCTAACTTCCCGTAGGATTTGGTTCCCCTCTTTGAAGGGGACACAGGGGAAGAACAAGCAGCTCCCTTGACCCCTTCTCCTGGCCAGAACCAGTCCGCTAGATATTGCTGGCCCTATTTTCACCCCTAGCTTTGGATCCCTTTCTTCCTTGGAGGGAAAGAGGCCTTCAGGGCAGCCCCGCAGACACTACAGGAGGGATGTAAGAAAACAGGCGCGGCTGGGCATCCCAGAGGAAGGGAAGTGTCCGGCGGAGGGAGGTGAGGGATGTTGAACAAGCCTCGCCTCCCACCGCACCCGGGCCGGGGAGAAGCAGAGACGTTGGCCCTCCCAGTTTCCTAGAGAGGCCGCGGAGGGCCCGGGGCGGCGACGCGCGTGCGCGACTCCAGCCGCCGGGAGGTAGGCGCGGAACGGGCGGCTGCGGTGGCGGCGGGTGGACCGATTGTCGCTTGGCGGCGGGAGTCGGTGAGCGGCCTGGCGGGGCGCGGGGGTCGGAGTTGGGGTGGGGGTGGCGGCATTGCGGGCGCGGGGCTCCCCGAAGGCCGCGGCACCCTCGGGCCTGCCCGGGCGGCGGGCGGGCCCCGGCCTGGAGGCTGCGCGGGTGGCTGGGGTCTGGCCGTGGATCCCGCCCCCGCCACGCTGAGGGCGTAACGGGAATCTCTCTGCCTCGCGGGCGTCCGGGCTAGAGAATCTGGAGCCCGTGTTTCTCCGGGCTTTCTCTTCTCACCCAATTAGGCAAATAAAGCGTATTTATCATTGACGATTAGATAACACGGGAAAGTAGAAGAAAAGTAAAAGTAGCCGCAGTCCTGAAATCTGTCTCCAGGCCTCCTGACATTTAAAATGTCTGTGCATAATTATGCACACTGACATTCATAAATGTATATATTTTATTATGAATTGAGAGCGTGCTGTTGCTTTTTAAAAAACTTGTGAGGAAACAATCTAGTGCAAAAATACACATAACATTTACCATACAATATGTAAACATTTACCATTTAACCATTTGGAAGTGTATAATTCAGTGAAATTAAGTACATTCATATTGCTGCTTTTTAAAAATTGTAATCTCCTGAATTTGTAGAATGCATTTGTTCTTATTTTGGCTAAAATTAGAGATAGCATTATGACACCACTAAAACATTTTTTTGCAAGGGTAATTATGACATCATGTTTGCAGTTTATTTTCTGTAGGACACATTTACATGAAGCTCTAAATGGTGAAGTGACATTTGTGCAGATAAACCGCAAAATCTTGTTTGTTAGGGTGATTATCTTTCACAATGAGATAAACTGTATAAAATGCAGTTTTAAAACAAAGGCAGGGCTCTAACCTACAGCGATTGTAGCACACTCTGACTGGCACAGGCCTAAAAGATCAGAGAATTGTCTCCTTCCGAATTTAAAAGTGGTGGCCAGGAAAGAATGTTATTCTGTTTCAAACTGCTTGGCAGTGCAAAACTAAAAACTCACCATTTTGCAAGGAAGTGCCAGGGAGTGGTTTGAGCAGTGATTTGATTAAGGCGTTTCAGAGAATCTCCATGTGTTTTATATGTGCGTCTGTGCAGATTCAGGGACCAAAGAATTAGGCTGCTCTTTTATGTTTTCTTAATAAAACGCAGATACATTTTGGTTTAAAAAAAAAAAAAGTCTTACTGTAAGCTGAAAAGATGAGCCATGTTTCGAAGATAAGCCTCAATATGCACTTAAAAAGGAACTGACAAAACCATGAAAAGTGGCAAGTATTCCACCGTAAGTTTTCTGTGGGGTATCCAGTAAGAATTAGTGCGGTAAACAGTCATGAAGCTCCCTTAACCCCTTCTCCTGGCCAGAACCAGTCCGCTAGATATTGCTGGATATTTACTCTCGCTAGAGAGTAAGCTATAGTAAAAGGTAACACTGTATTTTGCAATTTTCAATATTTTGTATTAGAAACAATGTGAAAGAGGTATTATATTTTGTATTAGAAACAATGTGAAAAAGTATATTCCTGTGACTTTCAGAGAATCGTAGGTGTTCTGTAAGATTGAATTTATGAGTTTATTTTTTTCTTCCTAATCTTAAATTTTTTTTCTTTTCTTTTATTTTACTATGTAGCACCTGTCACTGTTTAGCATACCACGTATCTGTCTCCTCATAGGTGCCTCACGGGAGTGATGGAACATATAGTAAGTAGGTTGTCAATATAAGCCAAACTGACAAAAGAAGGAATGCAAATTGGTAGATAAAATTGACAGTTAATGTCTTTTTTTTCTTTCTTTCTTTCTTTTTGGAGACAGAGTCTTGCTCTGTCACCAGGCTGGAGTACAGTGCTGTGATCTTGTTGTAACTGAGCGAGCGCGAAATCACCACTGAGGCAAAGACTAGGCCAAATTGCAGGGTCTTTATTGCTGGTGGCTACGGAGGACTCAAGTCTCTCCAACCCGTGGCCCCGAAAGGAGGGTGTCAAGACCTTTTATGCCCGTAAACCACCTCCTGGGCGGGGGTTAGGGTGAGGGGCTTTGAACATTCCAAGGGCCAGTGGACTTTGGACATTCCGATTGTTACTTAAGTGGTTCACAGAATTCAAGATAAGTGTTAGTTTACACATTGTCTGGGTAGGGTGGGAAATTACAGACCTTAGTTACATATTGCAAGTCTTAGTTTTTCTTAAAATGGCGCAGGGGCCAAAGTGGCGTTGGTTTGGACTGCTTGCCTGTCACCTTAGGGTTACAGAGAGCAGTTTCAATGGAAAGCTGAGGTATGGTTGAGGTATTGCAGTTTACAGGGGCAATTTGCATGTCACAATCTTGGCTTACTGTAATCTCCACCTTCTGGATTCAAGTGATTCTTCTGCCTCAGCCTCCTGAGTAGCTGGGACTACAGGCATGTGCCACCATCCCCAGCTATTTTTTTGTATTTTAGTAGAGATGGGGTTTTACCATGTTGGCCAGGATGGCCTCGATGTACTGACCTTGTGATCCACCCGTTTCAGCCTCCCAAATTGCTGGGATTACAGGTACGAGCCACCGTAATCTGAGCTGTAATGCCAGGTACTTGGGAGGCTGAGGCAAGAGAAATCGCTTGAACCTGAGAGGCAGAGTTTGCAGTGAGTCGAGATTGTACCATTGTACTGCAGCCTGGGCAATAAGAATGAAACTCCATCTCAAAAAATATATATGTGTGTGTTTGTGTGTGTGTGTGTGTGTGTGTGTGTGTGTATACCTAAAATGGAAATACATCAGATAAAAATGACTGAATGACTGGAACTTCTCAATTTAAGACAAACCGCCCCCCTCTTTTTTTTGAGATGGAGGCTGGAGTGAAGTGGCACAATCTTGTATCTTGGGTCACTGCAACCTCTATCCTCACCCCCACCTCCCTGTTCAAGGAGTTCTCTCACCTCAGCCTTTTGAGTAGCTGGGATTACAGGTGCGTACCACCACGAGCTGCTAATTTTTGTATTTTTAGTAGATGGGGTTTCACTATGTTGGCCAAGCTGGTGTAGAACTCCTGACCTTAGGTGATCCACCTGCCTCGGCCTCCCAAAGTGCTAAGGTTACAGACATGAGCGGAGCTCAGCCAACAAACATTTTATTTTGAATAATTGTAGACTTACAAAGAATTATAAACATTTTAGAGTTCTCTTGCACCTTTTACCTATTTTGCCTAAAGTTGCTATCTTGCATTGTAGTACATTCATCAAAATTAAAAAGTTTACAGGCTGGGCGCGATGGCTCACACCAGTAATTCTCAGCACTTTGGGAGGCCAAGGTGAGCGGATCACCTGAGGTTGGGAGTGCGAGACCAGCCTAATATGGAAAAACCCCATCTCTAAAAAAAAAAAATAAATAAATCTACATTGGTATAGTACTATTAATTAAACTGCAGACTTTTAAAAGTTTATCTTTTTTTTTTTTTTTAATTAATGTTCTTTTTCCATTCTAGGATCCAATCTAGAATTCCTCATTACAGTTAGTCATCATGTTTACTTGGTCTGCTTCAATCTGTGACAGTTACTTAGTCTTTCAAAACACTTTTGAAGTGTTTTATATTTGTATTTTTGTGAAGTCTCTCAGTTTGGTGGCATCTCATGTTTTCTGTCAAGTCAATCAGTTGTATTATTGTATGCTTTGGGTACTTTTTTATTCTTTGCTCTAGAATGCAGTGCTATTGTTATTTTATTGCTGAAATTATTCTAGCCTTGACTATTGGGAGCTGTGTCCCTTTGCCATGCCTTTATTTTTAAAAATTTTATTTATTTTTACTGTCTTTCCCTTTGTAATCAGTAATTATTTGGGGGAAGATAGTTTGCTACTTTGCATATGAGATACTGTTTCACTTTGAACTTTGGTCTACTAAGTAGCATTGATGGATCTTGCCTGCAGGAATGGCTACTTGGTGTTGACTTTCTCTTTCCCTCATTCCTTCTAGGCATTCATTGGATACTTACATGCTCTTCTCCTTCATTCAGAGTATTCATTGGAATACTTTGTGAAAAAGAGCTGTCCCTTCTCCCCTGTTACTTACTCAGTTACATTATTGTGTACTTTGGATACTTCTTTTACTCTTTGCCCTAGAATGCAGTACTATTGTTATTTTATTGCTGTAATTATTCTAACTTTGACTATTGGGATCTGTGTCCCTTTGACATGCCTCTTTTTTTTTTTTTTCCCCTAGTTTTCTGGCACCCAAAACCCTGATATTTTCCCTTTCCCAGCCTGGCATCAGTCACTTCTTCAAGTGTCCCTGTGTTTGGTTTGTTTTTTTAATTGGAAAATAGTATTTAGAAATGAAATTTTGGGCATTCCTGGTATGAGTTTCTTTCTTAATTGGTAAATGAGTATAAATATTATTTTAAGGTTTTAAATACATACTGAAAGCATATATATATATATATATATATGTATATATATATATATGTATGTATATATATATATTTATTTTATTTTTTTTTTGAGCTGGAATTTCACTCTTGTTGCCCAGGCTGGAGTGCAAAGGCCCAATCTCGGCTCACTGCAACCTCCACCTCCTGGGTTCAAGTGCTTATCCTGCCTTAGCCTCCCAAGTAGCTGGGATTACAGGCATGCGCTGTCATGCCCAGCTAATTTTGCATTTTTGGTAGAGACAGTGTTTCCCTGCCTTGGTCAGGCTGATCTCAAACTCCCGACCTCAGGTGATCTGATCGCCTGGGCTTCCCAAAGTGCTGGGATTACAGGAATGAGCCACTGTGCCTGGCCTGCATTTTTTCTTAAATTGTGATTATCTTAACTTAAGTTGTGATTATCTTAACTTATCTTGTTTGCTTAGTATCAGTTTATGTATCTTCTATACACTTACACTGGTAGGAAAACACAAAAGAGGCTAGCTAATGGGAACATTAAAAGAAAAACAAATTACATTGGCTATGAGGTGAAGAAACAATGTAACAGAAGGAAGAAAATCTCCTTGAAAGATGTCAAGATCTTGAAAGTTGTCAAGATCTT